ATATGCCAGCAAATCTGGACAACTCAGCAGTGGCCACAGGACTGGAAAAGGTCCATTTTCATTCCAATCCCAAAGAAAGGCAATGCCAGAGAATGCTCAAACTACTGCACAATTGCACTCATCCCACATGCTAGCAAATGCTCAAAATTCTCCAAGTCAGGCTTCAAGTGTGAACCGTGAACTTCCAGCAGTATGTGAACTATGAACTTCCAGATTTTCAAGCTGGATTTAGAAAAGGCAGAGGAACCAGAGATCAAACTTCTAACATCCGCTGGATCATAGAAACAGCAAGAGAGTTCCAGAAAAACATCTACTTTTGCTTTATTGACTATACCAAAGCCTTAGACTGTGTGGATCACAACAAACTGGAAAATTCTTAAAGAGATGGGAATACCAGACCACCTGACCTGCCTCCTGAGAAATATGTATGCAGGTCAAGACCCAACAGTTAGAACTGGACATGGAACAACAGACTGGTTCCAAATCAGGAAAGGAGTATGTCAAGGCTGTTTATTGTCATCCTGTTTATTTAACTTATATGCAGAGTACATCATGTGAAATGCCAGGCTGGATGAAGCACAAGCTGGAATCAAGATTGCCAGAAGAATTATCAATAACCTCAGATATGTAGATGACACCACCCTTATGGCAGAAAGCGAAGAACTAAAGAGCTTCTTGATGAAAGTCAAAGAGGAGAGTGAAATGGCTGGCTTAAAACTCAGCATTCAGAAAACTAAGATCATGACATCCATTCCCATCACTTCATGGCAAGTAGATGAGGAAACAATGGCAACAGTGACAGACTTTATTTTTGGGGCTCCAAAATCACTGCAGATGGTGAATGCAGCCATGAAATTAAAAGATGCTTGCTCCTTGGAAGAAAAGCTATGACCAACCTAGACAACATATTAAAAATAAGAGACATTAGCTTGCCAACAAAGGTCCATCTAGTCACAGCTATGGTTTTTCCAGTAGTCATGTATGGATATGAGAGTTGGACTATAAAGAAAGCTGAGTGCCAAAGAACTGATGCTTTTGAACTGTGGTGTTGGAGAAGACTCTTGAGAGTCCCTTGGACTGCAAGGAGATCCAACCAGTCAATCCTAAAGGAAATCAATCCTGAATATTCATTGGAAGGACTGATGCTGAAGCTGAAACTCCAATACTTTGGCCACCTGATGCAAAGAAAAGACTCTGATGCTGGGAAAGATTGAAGGCAGGAGGAGAAGGGGACGACAGAGGATGAGATGGTTGGATGGCATCACCAACTCGATGGACATGTTTGAGAAGGCTCCAGGAGTTGGTGGTGGACAGGGAAGCCTGGCGTGCTGCAGTCCATGGGGTCGCAAAAAGTCGGACACGACTGAGTGACTGAACTGAACTGGAGTCCTCTAGCCCACTCTATCCTTTGATCATTCTGCAGATAACTCATTCATTCAGAAAGGAAAATATTAAAAAAGAAGAAATCATAAAGCATTAACAGACCCTATAAGGTAGAAATTATTAAACTTTGAAGTCAATATATATCTGGGTTCCAGATTTCCTCAGTTCCACAAAGGTGTCTTTCGGAAATTTAATCTCTCTGAGCCATACCTCCCTTCAGCTGTCAAATGGGAATATCCAACCAAGCTATGGGCTTCCCAGGTGGCGCTAGTAGGCAAGAACCCGCCTGCCAATGCAGGAGACACAGGAGACATGGGCTAGATCTCTGAGTCAGGAAGATCCCCTGGAGGAGAGCAGGACAACCTACTCTAGTATTCTAGCCTGGAGAATCCCATGGAGAGAGGAGCCTGGAGGGCTACAGTCCACAGGGTCACAAAGAGTCAGACGTGACTTAGCACGCACGCACGCACCCAAGCTATAGAATTTTTGTAAAATTAAATGAAATAGCACATAGAAAAGTACCTAGATCAGTGGGTACAAAATAGGCTGATGGGAAGACTTCTCTGGCAGTCCAGTGGTTAAGACTTTTTCTTTCAGTGTAGGGACTCCAGGGTCAATCCCTGGTTGGGAAAATGAAATCCCAGGTGTCTCTCAGCCAAAAAAAAAAAAAAAAAGAACCAAAACCATAAACAATATTGTAACAAATTAAAAATCAGCTGTTGGTAACTTACTCCAAATTCAACTTCCACTTTGATCATTTCCAAATATATCTTCTTTTATCCCTTTTTCATGTTTCCGTTTCAAGGATCACCTCTCTATGAGCTTTGATTTTATCTCCTCCCAAGGTTTCTCTATTATCTTCCTTTTCTTTTGTGTAGATCTTCAGTACCTGCTTCTCCGCTGGCTCCTTTTCCTTTCTTTAAACATGTCAAGTCTCTCTCATCTTTTAAAATCAAAACAAAACCAAAAAAAAAAAAGGCTCTCAATCCTACCTCCTATTTAGCACTTATGCTAAATATGCTCCTAAACCCTCTAATCTATCCTGAAAATAGCAAACAATTAGCTGTCAAAACAGATCAGATTATATCAATTTCCTGCTAAAAAACTTTTGATGGTTTAGCAATTCCTTAATCATAAAAGCTAACATCATTTTTTTTGGGGGGGGGGGCAGACCTTTGCACAGTTTGCAGGATCTTAATTCCCCAACCAGAGGCTGAATTCAGGTCACAGCAGTAAAAGTGCTAAACCCTAAGCACAGAGCCACCAGGGAACTCCCACAGCCTGAAGTCTCGAACAAGCACTCAGAATCTTTCTCAGCATGTAGCCATCAATTGTTCCTTTCACCAGCCATTGCACTTTTCAACTTCTCAGTCCCACTGGTCCAGAGACCCCTAAGAACTGCATAACTTTCTAGAATGATGTGCATATGCTTGCTCATATGCACTTTTCTGGGATGAAAAATCTATTGCTATTCTCAAATTTTCTAGAGGAGGAGGGGTACCTGAACCAAAAAAAAAAGTAAAAACCAACTGTAATTACGTTTAGCCATATCAGACACACACCTTATAGTTTAGCATCTCCATTCCTATGCTCAAACTGCCCCCTCTGGATGGAATAACTTTATTATTTTTTTTACATTTACAGCATTTTATTCATAGTTTTATGACACATTGGACATTTTAACTCTTGAACTCAAGTCAATTAAGATGTAAGCCCACTGAAGATAGTGATTATGTTTATTCATACATTTATCCTTGCAATGCCTTACCAGTAGTAAATAGTCATAAACACTACAATTTAAACAATAGGTTGACTGCACAAGCTTTCAGTCAGGTCAGCATGGGTCTGCCTCATAAGAATTAATGACAAAAATATAAGGACAACAGACTACTATGAGAGTCTAAACATACAAATAGACATTGGCCAGACCATATATAACTATAAAATTTTCACCTACCATTTGCAGCAACCTGCTCAGGAAACCAACCCCCTAATCCACAATAAACTACCCCTGAGCCAGCTCACTACAAACTAGACTTGCAGATAGCTGTCTTTTGCTATCTCCAGTGACAATGGCAGAAAATAAACAATAACTTCTATAGCAATTGGCCCAAAAGAGCCAGGACTTGATTAATAACTGACAACTTCACTAATCTTGGTCCCTGCTTCCAATCTAGAACCAACCAGACAAACCTGAACAAACAGCCTTAAGCAATCACAAGGAAAACCCTGCTTTAGTTGGAAGACTTGCTGTTGTTGGCCTACCTACATCTTGCTTAGGCCAACAGGGTGTCCCTGAAGGCTGTCCTACTCCCCTGTACAACAAAAAGCTGACTCCTATAGCAAGTTCAGAATAAACAGCCTTTGCTTTTCTCATTTGGCTGGTCTTTGTTTATTTCCACAGTTGTATAAGAAGAATCCATTGGAATTATCCTAAAGATGAAATAATAATTCATATATGCTGGGATCTCAAGAAGCCAGAAATGGCCAAAGGAGGGATTTGTCACAGACTGCAGGCTACACCTGACAACAGACTTAACCCAGCTGAAAGACAACTGATGTCCACAGCCAGGAGAACAGATGCCCTGTTGGTGTCCTTGGGGTCAGTTCAGAGGAGTGGGTCACCTGGGTGACAGAGTTGCCACCTGCAGCTGCATTGCACAACCCTGCACCCTTCACTCACTGCCCTCCATTAACCATTTGTTAAAATCACTCTAAACAAGTCTCATTCTGACAGCTCAGCTGCCCAGTTCAGGTAGAACAACTTGAACATTTAAGGGTTTAGTGTCTCCTCTCTCTTCTTAATAAGCATGCTCAAAATAAACCATGTGCAATTTTCTGTAAACTTGAAGCCTGGCTGCTTCTGTGAAGTTATGGGCTACTTCAGTCTGGTTCACTGGAGATGGCTTCACTGAAAATAAGACAGGGTCATCCATTTTCAAGGGTCTTTTCAGGCGGATGCTGGCAGGGATGGTCTTCTCGATCAGTTCATCAACGCTCGCCAGCCCCAGGGCCTGTAGCATCTCCTTCTGGTCTTTGTCCCCGGGGCCGATGTGTCTCCGAGCGAAGTCGTTGTGTCTGGGGAGGAGGCGCTCGAGGAGGCGCGAGGCCCCGGCCCCGCCGCTATCCCCGCCGCCGCTACTTCTGTCACGGCCCCGCGGCGCCCACCGGAGACCCGCTCCTCCAGCCAGGCGGCGGCCGCCCCCGACTCCACAACCCAGACGCAGCCCCCAGGCCTTGGCACACGTCTGCATGGTGGTCGTCACCGTCCCCTGCCTGGGCCCGCGAGGCTCAGCCGGGCTTTCTGCTCCTTTTCTCGTCGTAGTCCCCTGGGTGGCGGCTGCCCCCAGGTGGCTGAAGCCCCTTCCCGAAGGATGACCGAAGGGACAGACGGATGTTCAGAGGCAATGAATGGGTGCCGCGCCGATCCCGGACCCGCGCGCAAACTTGTTACTCTGGAATAACTTTAACTGTTCTTATTAATCCCTCCAGAACAAGCTCAAAAAAAAAAAAAAAAAAATTAACTTCCTCTCTAATGCCTTCTTTCACTGTCTACCAGAACAGAATCATTCAGTCCCTTATCGTATCAATATAGCACACCCCTATTTAACACTCACTAGACTATTAGGTGTTGTAATGTTATAAGCTTTAAGGCAGAAGCTATATACCTTCATACCTTTGTACTGCCGGAACATAACCCAGGTCCAAGCACATGATGGGCAAAACAAAAATATCTGCTGAGTAAAAGATCCATTTAGGCACTCAACTGTTGTCTATTTTTGTTACTCATTCACCAAACATTTATGAAGTTCCAATGCAATACCTGAAGCTGTGTGCTAAGCAGTAAGGATGTAGATTAGGGCACGGCACCTGACATTAAGACAGTTATTAATAACTGTGACAATATAGAATAATAATGGTTTTATTTGGTAGGTGCTGTTTAAAAAGGCCTACATGAAGGGTTATGGTAGCCCTGTAAAGATGTGTCTAATAGTCACAGAAGGTTTACCAATGGGACATCAGGTTCTCTCAGAACAGAGAATCCAGCCATTCTGTCTTTTCTTTACAAACAACTTTCCCCCAATGTTCCTTTTCCTTTTCTAATAGTAGTAACAGTAACTTACCACAGGAATGTGGAAAGGTACAATGCAACCAAATTTTTATCCTACTTGATTCTGGAAACAATTCCAACTAGGTAGAATAGGAATCATGACACCTATGGTAAAGATGAGAAAACTAAAGATCAAAGAGCTTACTGTTCAAAACTGCACACTAAATAAGAAAGGATTTATTTAATATTTATTTACAGTCTTACTACTACATTCTCACCACCACCACCACCACACCCCCGCCCAATCCACCCCTAATCACTTTGTAAGCCCCAAAGAAAAAAGATTTTTGTTCTCATTGCTTTCTTCTCAGGCACTGCAAAAAAGCTTAAAACACAACAGGCTCTCAATAAATATTCATTGACTGAATTGATTTGAAACAGAGTAGACCAACAGCAAAAACACAAGGTAAAAAAACTCCTTTCCATTATGATGGTTTAATAAAAGATTTAAAACAGGCTTCTACTAGTTAGAAAGGCTAGACTAATTGTATTGACTCAATTCCACTGGCATGTAATGCATTTTATCTAAGAAGAATTTAAGGAGGTGAAGTAGGTTTCTATTTCTGATGTCACATTCATGGCATGTACTGACATAAACCCAAGGCTTACACTGCAAGTCTGAGACTGATCAAAAGGTTTTATTAAGAGCAAGAACTAAGAAAGCACTTTCCTGTGTCTTGACTCTTTGACTAGAAAAATACCTGAATGTCAGTCTTTCTTCAATAGCCAAAGCTGCTGTAAATATGTTCTCCAACATACTTCTTAATATGTCTTTAAGCAAATAATAGTCAAAACCGTTTAGTAAATAAAACTTTGAATAACCATTAGTCAAAACCACAGCTCAATAACTCACCATCCTTCCCTACCTCCAGGGCCCCATAAAACTGCCATTCTGCCTAGGCAAAAGGATCCCGGCAGACCATAAGACAAGGCGATGGAAGCAACGTTCAGCATGTCTTTTCGGAATGACATTGTTTGTGGTTCTAGAAACTTAAAAATCAGATGCTCCAATTGAAAATACTTCCATTATTTTTCTCCGATATTTAAATTTCAGCAAATCACAAGCTGTTGCCGGTGTTATGATAAATAATTGCAATAGGTGTGAGGTAATATATGATAGAGTACTGGATCTGGAGTAAGGTTCACTCGACTGTATCCTACCCAGGTTAACTTTGTGACCTCCAGCAAGTCACTTAACATTTCAGAGGCTGTAAACGTACACTTTATAGCTGTAAAATGAGAGAACCACCATCTCGAAGTGAGAATTCAATCATATAATGTAGGATTTTCCTGGTGGTACAGCTGATAAGAATCTGCCTGCCAATCCAAGGGACACAGGTTCAATCCCTGGTCCGGGAAGATTCTATGTAACTCGGAGTAACAAAGCCTACAGCCCATGCTCTGCAACAAAAAAACCACTGCAATGAGAAACCCTCACACTGTAACGAAGAATAGCCCCCACTCACTGCAACTAGAGAAAGCCTGCATGCAGCACAGCCAAAAAAAAAAAAATTATATAATGTATATGAACTACTTTTATTTTTTTTTTATATATTTTTTTTTTATATGAACTACTTTTAAAAAAACAGCACTGTATGAATTCCCTGGCAATCCAGTCGTTAGGACTCTGCACTTCCACTGCAGGGGGGCATGGGTTTGAGCCCTGGTAGGGGAACTAAGGAGAAGGCAATGGCACCCCACTCCAGTACTCTCGCCTGGAAAAGCCCATGGACGGAGGAGCCTGGTAGGCTACAGTCCATGGGGTTGCTAAGAATTTCAGACAAGACTGAGCGACTTCACTTTCACTTTTCCTTTCATGCATTGGAGAAGGAAATGGCAACCCACTCCAATGTTCTTGCCTGGAGAATCCCAGTGATGGGGGAGCCTGGTGGGCTGCCGTCTACGGGGTCGCAGAGAGTCGGACACGACTGAAGTGACTTAGCAGCAGCAGCAGCAGAGAAACTAAATCTTGCAAGCCAGGTGGCGAGGCCCCCCAAAAAGGCACTGATAGCACTGTCATGTTTGAACAAATAATTAACAGTCAAGTTCTAGAGTAATTCTGTGGCTGCTTCTTCAAAGCAGACACAATCCCCACTCATTAACAGATTACAAATCGAACATTTCCTATTTCCAGTAGTCAGGTATGGATGTGAGAGTTGGGCCATAAAGAAGGTTGAGCTAGGAAGAACTGATGCTTTCAAACTGGGGTGCTGGAAGAAATTATTGGGAGTCCCTTGGACAGCAAGGAAATCAAACCGGTCAATCTTAAAGGAAATCAACCCTGAATATTCATTGGAAGGACTGATGCTGAAGCTGAAGATGCAATACTCTGCCCACCTGATACGAAGAGCCAACTCATTGGAAAAGACCCTGATGCTGGGAAAGACTGAAGGCAGGAGGAGAAGGGGAAGACAGAGGACGAGATGGTTGGATAACATCAGAAACTCAATGGACATGAATTTGAGCAAATTCCGGAAGATAGTAAAGGACAGGAAAGCCTGGCGTGCTGCGGTCCAAGGGGTCGCAAAGAGTAAGACCAACTGGATTTAGCGGCTGAACAACAACAAACCCCTACACAGTATCAGTAACACAATTTGGGATTCTCAGCGGTAAATCACTTCTATTATAAGAGTTAGCTTTCTAGAAGCCACTAGGTTTCTGGTTTCTCTATAAAGCAGGTCCTTCTACTAATGGACGTCTGCTTTCAACTTTTGTTTTAAGCAGAAGTAAAACGTGGGATTTGCGGGGAATAGGCGGCGGTTGGATGAACTACTGTAGACTTTTTCTGCGTGCTGTGATGAAGAGGCTGCGCGCTGCCCTAGAAATCACTTTCTCTTCTCCGAGATTCTAAAGGTATGTGAACTACCATTCTGGCCATTCGCATAGGTTCTGTGATTTCCTCGATCACAGCCGTGACCCATACAGACAGAGCAGCAAATCCGATCCTTTCCCGGTTTCTCTGGGAGCGGGGCTCGCTTCTTTCCCATAGGCCCATCCCCCTATCGAGAAAAATGCCTGGAGGAGATTAGTGTCGTGAAGCCACCCGGGGCTGACATTTAAGAGTTGGACAATAAACTCGAGGTTTTCGGCAGAAACTCCGTCTGCCTCGCCTGTGCTCCGAAGCCTTCGAGCTGCCAGCTGGGATGCAGAGGTATGAGGGAGGGCAGGTTTGAAAAATGGACTTCGACCCGATCTGGTTACAGTGACCGGATTCCCAGGACCGGCCCCCAATCAGGGAATGGCCCGGCGGGCTCCCCCGAGGAGGTGACTCCATGCCCGGGCACAAAGGGGCGCAAAGCTGCCGAGACAAAAGGGCCCCGCCAAGTCGGTGGGCGGAGAGGGCAAGCCCGCGCAGGGCGCGCCGCAGGCGGAGAAGCCACGGGAGACGGTTGTGGGAGGGCGGAGGAGGAGGCGGCGGCCATCGCCCGCCCCGCCCTGGCTCGAAGCGACCCCGGCCCGGCCGTTACCCTCGCCCGCACCGCAAGCCCCTAGCGGAGCCGAGAGCGCGGCCCGAGCCTACCCGGCACCCGCAGGCCGACCCTGCGCACTTCCCGCTCACTTTCCTTAACTCGCCAAACTCACCAGGGGCTCCGCCGCCGCCACCTCAGCCTCCACAGCAGTTTCCCCCGGAAATCCTACCTGGCCTGCCGGCCGCCAGGCTGCAGCCACAGGCTTCGGCCCCCAGGAGGGGGGAAAGGCAGCGGGAGGGACAGCGAGGGGTAGGAAGTGCCGCCGCGGGGGCTCATGGGACTTGTAGTCTCCGAGAGGAGCCGGCTACGGCGCGGGCCGGACAAAATGGCGGGAACCTGTCTTTCAGCTCTGGGCTGATCGTTCCCATACGGCGTCTCTCAGCATGCGCCGCCCGCTGCGTGTAAGAGAGGCTGGGGGCACTCTTCCTGGTCCGGAGGAGGACAAAGGCATTTGGATTTGGAAGGAGAGAGTTCAGTACTGGGCTCCAGGGGGTGCTCAGGGTGCAGGCGTGCTCTTAGAGAAATCTGTGTCCAAGCCCGGTCCGGCTGAATTTCTATTATGAAGTGAAGTGAAGTCGCTCAGTCGTGTCCGACTCTTTGCGACCCCGTGGACTGTAGCCTACCAGGTTCCTCCTTCCATGGGATTGTCCAGATAGGAATAATCTTACCAAAGTGGTGGGGTGAGGGGGTGTGAAACAAAACTATTGAGGGTCAATTTGAAATGCAATACACTTAAAAGCAAGTTATCCTCAATTTTTGTGCATAAGGAAGAAACCCAGGATTCCTTTTTATTATCGCCTTCAGCCGCTTAAGTCCAGTCATCCCTGTTGCTTATCAGTTTTCCCACTACTATCTAGGGGAACACACCATCACCTTTCCAAATTTCTTTAGTTTCAGGCCTCTCGGCAGTCCACACCCTTCAAACACCTTCCTTCCCACTGCCAGAGGATCTTTCTAAATACCAAACCCATTGTGTCACAGATAAGTTAGACCTAAATGTACAAAACTTCTAGAGTAAAATACACGGGAAAATTCATGTGACTTTCAAACACACCATAAAGGAGACAAACTGATAAACTGCACATCATCAGAATGAACACTTCTGCTCTTTAAAACACGGTTATGAAAATGAAAAGGCAAGCCAAAGACCTGGGTGAAATGGTAGCAAAACCTATAGCCAACAAAGGATGAGTATCTATAACACACAAAGAACTCTTTCAACTCAAGACAAACAGCCTAGTTAAAAAAGAAAAAAAAGATTTGAACAGAGACACTTTATCAAAGATGATAAATGGATGGCAAATAAATGCTTAAAAGATATTAAGGAAATGCAAATTAAAACCACAGTAAGATAACATTACACACCCACTGAAATGGCTAACATTAAAAAGACTGGCAGTTATCAAGTGTTAGCAAGACTGTAGTGCAACGGGAATTCTCATTCATTGCTGGTGGGATTGTAAGATGATACAGCCACTCTGAGAAACAGTCTGGCAGTTTCTTTAAAAAATATACATCTACCATATGGCCCAACCCTACATTAGGTATTTACACAAGAAAATGAAAGCGTACATCTGCAGAAAGACTTGAAGGTGAATGTTCACAGCAGCTTTATTTGTAACTAGCCAAAGACTGGAAACAACTCAAATGTGCTCCAAGAGGTAAATGGAAGGACTTCCCTGGTGGTCCAGTGGCTAAGACTCCATGCACCCAATGCAGAGGGTCCAGGTTCAATCCCTGGTCAGGGAACTAGATCTGACATGTTACAACTAAGTTCTCATGTGCAACTGAAAGATCCTGAGTGCCACAAGTAAGACGAGGCACAGCCAAGTAAATCCATGTATATCTTAAAGTAAATGGGCATTTCCCTGATGGTAGAGTGAATAAGAATCTCCCTGCCAATGCAGGGGACATGGGTTCGATCCCTGGTCTGGGCAGATTCCATGTGCTGCGGAGAAACTAAACCTGGATGCCACAACTACTGAGCCTATGTCGTGCAGCTACTGAAGTCTGTGTGCCTAGAGCCTGCACTCAGCAACAAGAGGCCTTGTAATGTGAAGCCCTCGCACCGTAACTGAAGAGTACCCCGCTTCTCTGCAACAGAGAAAAGCCAGCACAGTAACAATGACTGAGCCCAACCAAAGCATAAATAAATAAATTTATAATAAAAAAGTAAATGAATATTTATACAGTGGAATACTCTTCAGTAATAAAAAGGAATGAGCTACTAATACATATGACTTAATGATGAATCTTAACTACTGAGTGAAAGAAGTCAGACATAAAAGAGTATATCTGATCTGGTTACATTTACATAAATTCTAGGAATTATCCTGGGGAAAAAAAAAACCAGAATAAGTGGTTGCAGAAGCATAAGAAGTTGTGCAGAAGCACAACAGGGTGCGATAATAAAGGAATTGAGGAAACTTTTGGGGTGACAGGTGTTGACTGAAAAAAAAAATGTACAACATAAAAGTTGACGTTAATGTTTTATTTGGTGGATAAAACTGAGGACTTCACTGTGGGACACAATATCTCAGATAACTCTGAGACTGTTCTGAAGAGACAAGGAGGGAGCCAGGATATGCAGGAGTTTTTGCAACAAAGACTGAGTAGTGGGAACATCAAAAGATTCAGTTCAGTCGCTCAGTCATGCCCAACTCTTTGCAAACCCATGGGCTGTAGCACCCCAGGCTTCCCTGTCCATCACCAACTCCCAGAGCTTGCTTAAACTCGTGTCCATCGAGTCAGTGATGCCATCCAACCATCTAATTGTCTGTTGTGCCCTTCTCCTCCTGCCTTCAATCTTTTCCAGCATCAAGGTCTTTTCCAATAAGTCAGTTCTTTGCATCAGGTGGTCAAAGTATTGGAGCTTCAGTTTCAGCCCTTCCAATGAATATTCAGGATTGATTTCCTTTAGGATTGACTGGTTTGATCTCCTTGCTGTCCAAAGGACTCTCAAGAGTCTTCTGCAACCCCATGGTCAAAAGCATCAGTTCTTCCGTGTTCTGCTTTCTTTACGGTTCAATTCTCACATCCATACATGACTACTGGAAAAAACATGGCTTTGACTAGATGAACCTTTAGGAGCAGAGTAATGTCTCTGCTTTTTAGTATGCTACCTAGGTTGGTCATAACTTTTCTTCCAAGGATCGAGCGTCTTTTAATTTCATGGCAGCAGTCACCATCTGCAGTGATTTTGGAGCCCAAGGAAACAAAGTCTCTCACTGTTTCCATTGTTTCCCCATCTATTTGCCATGAAGTGATGAGACCAGATGCCATGATCTTAGTTTTCTAAATGATGAGTTTTAAGCAAACTTTTTCACTCTCCTCTTTCACTTTCATCAAAGGCTCTTTAGTTCCTCTTCGCTTTCTGCCATAAGAGTGGTTTCATCTGCATATCTGAGGTTATTGATATTTCTCCTGGCAATCTTGATTCCAGCTTGTGCTTCATCCAGTCCGGCATTAAGCATGATTTACTCTGCATATCATGCATACCCACGCCCGAGGTCAGGAGCGGCGGCCGAGAGGAGCAACCCCATGTCCAAGGAGTGGCTGCTGTGAGGGCACAGGAGGGCCGAGAGGAGCTACTCCACATTCGAGGTCAGGAGGGACGGCCATGAGGAGTTACCCCTCATCCAAGGTAAGGAGCAGCGGCTGCGCTTTGCTGGAGCAGCTGTGAAGAGACACCCCATGTCCAAGGTAAGAGAAACCCAAGTAAGACGGTAGGTGTTGCAAGAGGGCATCAGAGGGCAGACACACTGAAGCCATAATCACACAAAACCAGCCAATGTGATCACAGACCACAGCCTTGTCTAACTCAGTGAGAATGAGCCACGCCGTGTGGAGCCACCCAAGACGGACAGGTCATGCTGGAGAGCTCTGACAGAATGTGGTCCACTGGAGAAGGAATGGCAAACCACTTCAGTATTCATGTCCTAAGAACCCCATGAACAGTATGAAAAGTCAAAATGATAGGATGTTGAAAGAGGAACTCCCCAGGTCGGTAGGTGCCCAATATGCTACTGGAGATCAGTGGAGAAATAACTCCAGAAAGAATGAAGGGATGGACACAGCAAGATCCTCTATGACCCACCTCCCAGAATATTGGAAATAAAAGCAAAAATAAACAACTGGGACCTAATGAAACTTAAAAACTTTTGCACAACAAAGGAAACTATAAGCAAGGTGAAAAGACAGCCCTCAGATTGGGAGAAAATAATAGCAAACGAAGCAACAGACAAAGGATTAATCTCAAAAATATACAAGGAACCCCTGCAGCTCAATTCCAGAAAAATAAATGACCCAATCAAAAAATGGGCCAAAGATCTAAACAGACATTTCTCCAAAAAAGACATACAGATGGCTAACAAACACATGAAAAGATGCTCAACATCACTCATTATCAGAGAAATGCAAATCAAAACCACAGTGAGGTACCATTACACGCCAGTCAGAATGGCTGCTATCCAAAAGTCTACAAGCAATAAATGCTGGAGAGGGTGTGGAGAAAAGGGAACCCTCTTACACTGTTGGTGGGAATGCAAACTAGTACAGCCACTCTGGAGAACAGTGTGGAGATTCCTTAAAAAACTGGAAATAGAACTGCCATATGACCCAGCAATCCCACTTCTGGGCATACACACTGAGGAAACCAGATCTGAAAGAGACACGTGCACCCCAATGTTCATCACAACACTGTTTACAATAGCCAGGACATGGAAGCAACCTAGATGCCCATCAGCAGACGAATGGATAAGGAAGCTGTGGTACATACACACAATGGGATATTACTCAGCCAATAAAAAGAATACATTTGAATCAGTTCTAATGAGATGGATGTAACTGGAGCCCATTATACAGAGTGAAGTAAGCCAGAAAGATAAACACCAATACACTATACTAATGCATATATATGGAATTTAGAAAGATGGTAACAATAACCCTATATGCAAGACAGAAAAAGAGATACAGATGTATAGAACAGACTTTTGGACTCTATGGGAGAAGGCGAGGGTGGGATGATCTGAGAGAATAGCATTGAACCATGCATATTATCAAGTGTGAAACAGATCGCCAGTCCAGGTTGGATGCATGAGACAAGTGCTCAGGGCTGGTGCACTGGGAAGACCCAGAGGGATGGGATGGGGAGGGAGGTGGGAGGGGGGTTCAGGATGGGGAACACATGTAAATCCATGGCTGATTCATGTCAGTGTATGGCAAAAACCACTACAATATTGTAAAGTAATTAGCCTCCAACTAATAAAAATACAGGGGGAAAAAAAAAAAAAACAAGAATGAAGGGATGGAGCCAAAGCAAAAACAATACCCAGTGTGGATGGGACTGGTGATAGGAGCAAGGTCCGATGCTGTAAAGAGCAGTATTGCATAGGAACCTGGAATTT